CTATTGCAGTATTTAAACATTACTACATCTCGAAGAACTAAAAAAAAAAATTTACAAAAAAAGGAAGCAAAGGTACGCCCTATGCTAAGTTATACCATTGTTTCATTTTTTCCCCGATCGTTTGTATGCGAGCTATATGATATTACGACCGAATCGACTCTCCAAGGGATGGTGAACAAGAATATTTATACTTTAGAAGGACCTTCACTGCATTGCAAACTTCTGACTGAAAACTTAATACCATCTTCAAGGGTATAAAAAAGGGTAACAATGGGTATGGGAACTTCAGCTTTGGACTCCTTTCCTCTGTTTGTCTAGCAATTAATAAAGTATAAAACTATCAAATTAAACGCTCCAACTGTTAGACCAAGTTTCTTAATTTTTTCCAAATTCTATTTTCATCTGCAGGGGCAAACTTTTGCTATGTCAAAAATAAATGTGCCGGGTCAGGCAATGCAAAATCTCGATCTAACCATCTCTAAAGTTTCTTAATACTACATGCTTACAAATTGGAAAGTTTGCTTTGGTCTGCACAGCTTAGATGATAATGATTTTCAATATAGTATAATCGTGTGTCTTCTTTGAAAGACAACATCTGGCGAGCCAATGAATGTCAAACTTTAATAGTGCTATAAGACATTTGTGTTTCGACTTAATAACACACATATACACCTAATAGCTAGCTTCTACCATGTCTCAGTGTGAAATGACAGATTTTTGCGATTTGAAATAAACTTACGATGCGTAAGAATAACTTGAATCAGCATTTCAAATCCCAAATATCTAGCTCATATATCTCGAGTTTCATACGGACTGACAGACAGATCGACTCGGCTGTTGAGCCTGTTCAAGAATGTATATACTTTATAAGGTCAAAAACGCTTCCTTCCCCTTTTTGTCTACAAGAAACAGGTGCAAATATTTAATCTTTAATGTGATTGAACTGTGACACGTCTGGCTAAGTCCAAATATACGAAATGAAAAATACAAATTATCTCCATTTCAAATCTTAAAGTTGGGAGCCTGCATATTAAAGATAGTAATTTCTTTCCCTAATATAATCACATTAGTTTGGGGTAAACCTCTAGCTCAGCTCGAGGTGTACCCCTCCGCAATAACGTTTGTGTTCAGGCTCCTCCTCCGATTTCAAAGTCCAGCATCCATTTCTGGTCTCCGACCTTAGTTTGTCATCATCCGCCAGCTGTTTGCCTGCACTTTGAGTTAGGCATTGTCGGCCGATTTGGCCCTTATGAACTAGTGTCAAACACATATACCCACACAGTCTCTAATACATATACCTTGAGCTTAAGGCTGTATCTGTGTGTTTGCAGTACGGGGAAAAGTCAGTGCAACATGTTGCCACTGCCATGAAATGTAAATAAATTTCTCTTGCGGCCAGGCATGTCGTAAAACATGAGGTTAATGTGGTAAAAGCCGGCTAGACAACTGATTCATGGGAGGCGGATTGTGTGAAGGGGGTAAAAATAAGTTTGCAACAGCGGTCAACATATTTCTGCCTAAACTATTAAGGACAGTAAGTGGCATTTAATGGTGTTTACTAGGGGAAGGGAAATGCAATCACATATTTCATTGCCAGCTTTGGTTTCTTGCGAGAATGGTTTGGGGTAGAAAAGGAAAACAGCCCAGCGGAAGCTACAGATCTTGACAAGTAAGACAACAAAATGCGGTAAGACAACAAAATGCGGTCGAACTTTTCTAAGACAAACTTTTCTAAGTCCGAATTCGACGTAAACACTCAAAAAATCCAGATTAAGTCTTTTGAATTACAAAATAATTTATTAAAATTATTTTTTATAAGCTTACATTTAGTTCACAGCACCGATTTCGTTAAAAGTCACCAAGTTCCAGTTTCTGAGCTCCTGATAACGAGAGACATAGTCAAAGTGGGCGCAAATTAGGTTTTTTGAAAAATATAAGTTAAACCCAGTAATATTTTGTTAAGGTTTTGGCTGATGTTTTAGTCAAAAAGAAAGATATTTATAAAAATCGTCTATATATTTATTATTTGATATGTCGAATTCGTGTTCAGTGTTCGGTGTTACGAAAGCTTGCCCAATTGTTTTGCATTAAATTATTATTATACTTGCAATTTTACAAAAGGATTTCTGAAACTAGGTCATAGTTAGATATCCCTAAATTACGCATTTTTGCTTAGGGCGTCGCAAAATATCCAACATTTGCATGGGATTATTGCGGTCGTGCCCGAGATTTTCTTTAGCGCCTTTAACCTCTTGAATTAAGCCTTTATGCAAAGAACCGGTCACGCAGTCAATTATTATAAACTGACAGAACTGCTAAGGTAACAAATTTTTGAGCTCATGCCGAAACCCTGTTGGTCTGTCTATTTAATTAACACACACAGACATGCCAAAAATTGAGTTAAAACTTTTTTGTTGTGGCCGAGAGGATGGAGGTCGGTGCAAAATTAATTTGGCGCTGTTTTTGCCGCCGCTCTAACTCGCACATAAACTTCTAATTGGCAGCACATTCCGCATACGCCGCGTTGGCCCATGTTAAAAAGTTTTCCACCCAGCCTGTCCGGGGATGAGTCCTAAAAACGAGGGCGAAAACTTCGACGTTTTGTGTGCGCAAAAGTTATAATAGATTTTTAGTTTCACTCATTTAGTCGAAATATTTTCCGAGGGTGGAGGATCTGCTCTCGACCAGTAAAACTAGTCATTTGTAGTGATGGACTAAGTTGACTTTATTCCCACAATGCTCACAGATTGAATTGAATTGTTTTGGGCAAGAAGGTCACTCAATTTGCCTTCAATGAAAGTTCTGTAAATAGTTGTTGAGTTGATTCTGGTCAAGGATCAAGTTAATGAGGAACACGAAATTAGTTACAAATACTTTTCACTTAAAACAAGAAAGGAAGCAAACTTCGGCAAGCCGAAGTTCATATACCCTTGCAGCTACTGCAAAAATTAAATATTCTTGAAGACATTAAAATTATGATTGACTAACGTAGATGTTTAAACACATTGAAGCTATGATGATTTACAGTTCCTATGGCAGCGATATGATATCGTTTTCCGATTTTAATAAAATTAAAAGCGTCATTCTGAACTATCAAATTATTAATTAATCAAAAAGAATTTCTAAAAAAAAATTACAAAATAAAAAAATTAAATTTTTTTTGTATATATATATTTTTTTTATTGTTTCCATGGGAGCTTTAAGTTATAGTCGTCCAATTTTGATGAAATTTAAACAGTAATTTAAGCATTACTATAAAAAATACCAAAGTTATAATTTTTTTTCCGATTGTTCCTATGGGAGCCATATGCTATAGTCGTCCGATTTTGATGAAATTTAAACCGTAATTCTGAATTTTTTAAGGGCTAAGAAACATCAAAGTTATATTTTTTTATTTATTTTTCTTATTGTTCCTATAAGAGCTATGTGCTATAGTCGTGCGATCCGGCTTATATACTACGTGCAATAGAAAGACAACTTTTGGGAAAGTTTCATGCAGATAGCTTTAAAACTGAGAGACTAGTTTGCGTAAAAACGGTCGGACAGACGGACGGACAGAAGGAAGGACAGACGGACATAGTGATGCTGATCAAGAATATATATACTTTATAGGGTTGGAAATGCCTCCTTCACTGCGTTGCAAACTTTTTAAGAAAATTTAAAAATATATGATAATGCTTTAGGCACAACTCTGTCTAATATTCTGGCCCCCTGATTATAACATTTCTTCTTGTTACGTATGTATTGGAACATTTTCAAGCAGACATTTTCAAGTAGATCGAAAGATTGAATTTATTAAAATTATTGTTATGCTATAATATACCCTTATTTTAAGATTATACTAATGTAAAATGCATTTAAGCTTTAAGGACATATTTTTCATTTGACGATAAAGGTTATTCAAAATTGTAAAATAAAAAACTCATATTTAATATAAATTATATGCAGTTTTATCTCATAAGTCCTTAAACTCGAGAGAGCATTTGCAGGTTAAGTTTAAATTTATTTTTCATCATTCATCTGCCTTATCACTGTAATCTCCTTTTGTGAATTCCGCGGCTAAAACTCAATTATATATGTTTGTTCATTTCCAAAACTAATCCGGCTGTTTAATGTGCCCAACTTGGCCAGCAAACGCATATATCTTGACTAATTCCACCCAAGAAAACTTTACGGTACTTTTCTCTGGTCTTGGAGTCTTTTTGCTTTTCCGCATCGCTTTTCTCGCCTGTCTCGGAAAACTTTCCCCAGGGCGTCATGCTGTCTGTGCTTGTGGCTTTACGCTGCCAGTTTTATGGTCAACATTGTACCATCCACCGCCCGCTGCTGCTCTCCTGTTTTGCTTCTTGGTTCATATATCTTTAATTTTTTATGCCCTCCGTTATGTCAGCACATTTGCCATAGCATACTTTTCAGCAGCCACAGAGCTTGAATTGCTGTCATTAGCGGGAAAGAATCTAAGGAATCAGAATGGAGAATACACTGCTGCAAAATAATGACATTGACTGTGGAAAATGTACTCACAATTTATGATTTTTTTTAAATAAAGTTTATTTGTATATGAATTTAAAAATGTAGTGGTTTTTTTCTCGCTAGAAAGTGTGGTTGAAACTGGTTCAAAATTTATTTTTATTGTTTTCTTTACTTTCTTAAATAAGTCTTCTTAAAGTACGGCTCCGACAAAATAATTAAAATTCGATCTTACTGCACTATTTGGTTTATTTTTAAATTCATTTTACGAGTATCTAATAACACAGCAAGGCAGAACATTAAGATTAAGATTTCTTTCACTGATTAATTTTAAGAATTTATGTGTAAAGAGCCCATATTGATTTAAATAGTTTATTCGAATAGAATGAATTACTTTGATTGGAAAAATAGGATCAGGAACCCAAACCCGATTCGCGTAAATTGGAATTGAATTTAAAAGGAAACATATACCATGGAATGTAAAGTTTATACATTTTTTATTGGGAAACTTATTCAAATTCTATTCTATATCTTAAAATCGTTCATTGTTTTTTTAATCAGAAATATTTTTGTAAATTAAACCTTTAACAATTTTTTTTATTTCAGGTGCAGCTCCTTGGCATTTATTTGTGAGTGCTGACTGTGTTGTGGTCCATAACTGGGTCAACAATGGGAGCTCTTTGATGTTCTTTCCTTTCTCGAGTGCCTGCCTCCTCCACTCCTTTGCTATTCTGTGAGCCTTCCCTTCTCCTTTGTGGTTATTTTGGTTGTTGCTCTTGCCATTGTTAGGGCCATCGCCCGTTTACAAGTCAAGTGGCTCCCATAACACCAAAAAATTGTGTAACAAAAACAATTTATTTTGCTGTATAACTTGTCGTTTACTGGTTGCTCCACCTCCTGTCATTGCCAGCTAGCCAGATTTGACAGACGGACTCCGACAGGCTGTCGTTGTTTTTTCTTGTTGTTTTTGTGTTTTTACCCTTGCAAAGGGTATTATTATGTTGGTCAAAAGTTTGCAGTGAAGTGAAGGAGTCTTACCGACAACATAGAGTATATTTATTATTGATTTATCCTTTAAGACATTACATTGTTGTGTTCTTTAATGGAACATTTTTATCTAAGACTGATCGATTTTGTTTTTTAAAGAAACCCAACTTCAAGAGTAATTCAAAAAACATTTTTTTTTGTAAACAAAAAATTCTTATTTGTGTGTTGACATTAGTGTGGTAAAAAAAAGCGAACTCTAACTATTAATATTGCAGTTTTTGTTGCACAAATAATGTACTCGAAAACCAACAAATTTTATTTTAAGTGCAATGGTCCACAGCATCAATTAAAAATAGTTGTTCGTAATCCAGCTCGAATTTTGTGCAATGGCTTTAAATCGCATTTCTTTACGACATTTATTTAAAATATGACATTAAGCCCTATGGGAATACGAGTGTAAATAAATGTACTCACAACATTTAATATCAGAAATATATGCAGAATACTTTGTGTACTTGAAAAGGGTTAATTAGACGATGTTTAACTGTTCAGCCATTACCATGTACACAATAAATAATAGCCTGATTCTAACGGTGCATTAAAAGGCATTAAGCCGTATGCGCTTTTATTTCCACAGGTTCTCCCAAAATACAAACAGCCCTGTTCCAGTTTTCACTTCCGAAAGATTCACAGGAATTCGAATTTCCCAGACCCGTTCCAGTTTTCAATTCCAAAAGATTCACACGGATTCTAAATTGCCTCTGTTAATTCTCTGTTAACTTCCGTAATAATCTCACGGAAACTTTCCGCCAAGCAATTGGCTGGCGGATTTAATTCCGCAAGCACAGAAATTAATTGATTTAAAATACTTTGCGATAAGTTAAAGTGCAGATGATGTTTGTACCCTATTCATTACTGCTTTACAAACTTGGTTTACACAAAAAACATTTTTGACCTATTAAAAATTATTTTGGGATTGCGTCTCAGAATCGATTAGATTATCGACTTCGTCATTTTAGCAATTCCGCCGCCCCTTTTCTGGTTTCCGAACGAAATGAAGGGGAGGCTGCCGAGGCTACGAAAAAAAAAAACTATTTTCTTGGGACTTATTTTTAGCACGCTTTTTGGTGTTCGTTGATGGTAAGAAAGGCATTTAATCAAAGTAAAATTTAAAAGTGTTTTTGTTATTATTACCGCTTATTTTAGTGTTCTATTTGTGCAATATCACCTTTGGCAACTCTTGTTCTCAACACTACTTGTGAAAAGTTCACAACACTGACACCAGCATTTTCTAGCACTGGCTAAAAGCGATATACAAAAATTTGAAAATTTGTACTTGTGGCCGCCAATGCAAGTTCATTCGATTTTATGCGCTTAACTAGTATTAACTAGTATATTAATCTCACTATCTGAGGGACAATAGCGGGCCAAAATTTAATTACCCCTGAGGCAGCAAAACTTTGTCAAATCAAATGCCTTTGTTATTAGGGGACTGCTGCCAGTCAGCTGATTTTTCATCATAAAATCACGATTTGTGGTCGTTAGAGTTGGAGTGATCAGTTTTGAAATAAACTTGGGCTGCGTATGAATTACAAGAATCTGCATGCCAAGTCCCAAATCTCTAGCTTTTGTTGTTTCCGAAACTCGACGTTCATACAGAAGCACAGACAGACAGACGGACAGACAGACATGTAGATTTTTGTCAATGCAAAAACAAACTTATATTCTTTTAAAGTCTATTATAAAATCATCATACGACTTTATGAATAGAACCTCGTGGAAGTGTATTGACTAATATATTTTTTCTAACTGCAAGGGTATACAAGGTTTGGATTATTGAACTTCACTTTCTATTCTTCTCTGTCTATTATCTTTTGCATTTTAGTTTTGCCATTTAAAAAATTGTTTTATCACTTAAATTCTTTTGTGTCGCTCAAATGTCAATTCTTATATTTTAATACACTTAATTTACCTTGTGTTGTGTGAATTAAATCGAATTTTCTCTTGCAGTAAGCAAATAAAATGATTAACTACATTTCAATAGGCTTCGGTATGCATTAAATGTTTGACACTGGCGTAATTATAATGATTTATATTGAAAATGCAATAACAACGAGTCGTTGCACTTGTGGCTGGAGAACATTTTATTGAGATCGCAGATAAATATTGAATGTCGTCCACTAGTAATTGAATTATTATTTCTTTTAATTTTCAATTCTCATAAATCTTCTGATTTATGCTTTAAGAGCTTTAAAGGTCTTTAAGATTTAACAACTGTTATTGCAAATTTACACCAAAATTTAGAAATTCGCCATAAAACTTATTTTTTTTCTAAATTCAAGAAAAAAAATCTAGTTTCCCGAAATTTTTCTCTGGAAACTACGAAATTTTTTTTAATCAATAAGTTTTTTCTCAATTAAAGAAATAGTTGCCCTAATCTGAAATCGCCCTAAAAAAAAAACTTTTCTATATTTATGTTAAGTCAAATTGGGACTTGTTTTCAGTTCTTTTCATAAAATGAGGGCTTACCATAATAGGTAACTAACTATGAAAGTCTTTTCTAAAAATTCTCAGCCTAACCTTAAAATACTTAACCCTAAAAATAGAAATGTTAACTAAAATAATAAAATTATTTTCTTAAATGTCGTAACCTGAACTTAAAATGAAACTAACCATAAAAAATAAAAATTTTCCTCGCTCGACAAGCTCGTAGCCTAGGGGTTGGAGTGTCTAAACACCAACTGTCGTCATACATTTTTTTTGTAATTTAAATGCCGTTGTCCGTTTAACAAAAAAAGAACGATCCGATTTACAAAAATTTTAAAAACGAAAGACAAAAAATATTGACATTGAAATCATAGTGAGGCAATTACGCCACACCCCTGGGACAAAAATCCCCTTATAAAATACGGGGAACTGAACGCCTGCCATTATGCTACATACATTTCATCAATAATTCATTTCAATATATAAGAATCCGCCTAGTAAACTATAGCCGTTTTCTTGTTAATCAGTTTATTACGAAAAAAAAATATATCAATTTAATTAGAAGCCGATAGTTTTTTTAACACCTTCGAACGTCCTCTTTTGATCTCTGCCTTGACCCGCGATTTCTTAACCTTCGCATGCTGTTGCTCCTGGGCCAACTCTTCTATTATATCGGGGTCCGTTAATATCGCGGCTTTACGCCTTTTTCTCCATCTTCGTGTTAATGCCCTGGGCAGACCTTTGAAAGCGGCTTAAAAAAAGGCCCCAAAAGTTCCGTCTGCCGAATCTGAGCTCGAATCTTTCGGCCTTTAATCTTTTTCAATAAAAACAGCTGGGTTTTCGCGGTCGATTATACTGCTTGGAAGAAACTCGCCCTGCTTGAAGATATCCGGGTTAAAGGGATCAAATCCGGTGCATTGAAATCCAGAAATAATACTTTTGCAAGTCACTGCTGATGAAAACGTCTTGCTATTGTTTAGTGGAATGTCATAAATTGTCTTCGATTTGCCCGGATCTGTTTTCATCCAATAGTCGCATTGGGAGTTGATAGCAGTATTAAAAACAGTGCGATCAAGAGGTTGTAGTTTATGCGAACAATGAGGTGGAAGCGTCAAAAGAACTCCTGCTGAAACTGCCATGGACAATGTGACAAGAGTTCCTCTTTCAGAATAATGTAACTCTTCCCATACATCTTTTGAGCAACGAAAATAAAAAATATATAAAATAAGGGGAGAATTCGCCCCACACTTAGTATGGCGAAACTGTCCCACACGGTGGTTTTTTAAAAACAAATTATTTTTATAGCTAAGACGAACGCGAAAAATAAATCAGCAAAACAAAAGAGTATTTATATATTAACCGTGCAACGCAAAATTAAATGGTTTTCTTTCCGTTGGTTGTGTTCTACTGTTGTGTTCTACTGTGACGGCGGACTAACAGAAAAAAATTGGTTTTTAAAGTGTTCATGGGTTCTTGGTAAAAGCAGGTGGTGGAATTGCCCAAGTGGCGAAATAGCCCCACTCTCCCCTACTGTATCAGAGTTAACTTATATGCTCTAAAATATAAATTCAGTTGAAAACTGAGCTTTTATTTCCAAACAACAAAACAATATTATATTCGTACATTATTTGTGTGATGTCGTATATAGAAAAAATACATAATAAATCTCAACATGCCGAAATACAAATTCATACTAAATAATATGGTTTCATTTTTAAACACTTTTCTACTTAAAAAAAAAAATTGTAAACGTTTTTCTCCTTTTTAGAGAAAATTTGTACTATTATAATATCGAAAATATAAAAATAGGCAAAATTGTCGATAATTAACTAAACTTCACTTATGCCCATCACTATTCTAAGCCCATGCGATAGATAACTATTTTTCTTAATATAATATAATATATTAACATTTTTTTAAGTCAGTGTTAATGCTATTATTAACTCACCTCCAGTTAAAAAAATGGTAGTATTAAACATTTTTAAAAACCTAAAACCTTTTTTATGTATTTTTTTTTTTAATCTTAAGAGAATTGATTGCCCACCTCTTAAAATTTTGAAATAAAGCTTTTAAAAATATGGAACTTCAAAGTTGCTGACACCATAAAAAGTAGGAGAAAAAATATAACAAAATTAAAAGTTTAATATATTCTAAATTTTGTATTATTATTATTATTATTCAGGACATTTTTGAAGTTTCCTTTTTTTTAACTGGAACTTGACAAAATATTCTAATTAGTGGAAAAAAAGTGGTACAAAAAGGGCAAACGACGATATTCAAATGTCAAAAATTCGATTTATGGTAAACCAGTTTCCTTAAGCTTCAAAACAATAACTCGATTGGCCCAATCTTTTAAACTTAACATAGTACTGCTAAAATCAATTCTTTTTTTAGATTAAAAAAATTATTTATTAATGTTTTTTACACATCATTTTTAATTTGTAACTGTTTGGCTAAAATAAATTAATTTAAATAAATTTTACGCCGACAAATTGTTCCCCAATCCACCTAGACCAATTAAAAAGTAAACAAAGTATGCGGAAAAACTTTGAACCGAATGAACAGGCAAATGAAACTAAGTAAAAAACTTGCCCAAGTCAGCGTCGAAAACCGAAACGACGAATAAACAGAGTGCAAGAGATAGTCTCATGAAAATTGCAGTT